CTTAAAATCAGCTGCCGAAAACTCGAAAAAAAACAAAGAATTAAAAAGACCATTAAATGCTACGGAGCTATCACCAACCAAAATTTTAAAAAGCTAGAATGCTCGATCTTTAGTTGAATTTTACGGCTTACCAAATTTAACAACTGTATTTAATATTTGCTATTCGACTATACTAATTAAAATAGATAATCAACCCTTAGAATTACGCATATATAACAATATGCGTATCTAATATGTTTTTATATATTTTCTAATTTTTTTTTTACATTTGCTTTGTTGTTTGAACGATACACATTTATATTTAACTTGTCGACAGTAATAAAGTCTTATAAAAAAAAAAGCCATTTTTACTGAAATAATTAAAAACCGTATTGGCTCCATATAAATTAATACGAATAATGTATGCTTATTTGCTATATTACAAGTTTACTTTTTTGATAACCAATAAAATGCTATAAAAACTGTGAAAAAAAGCAAACTGCACGCTGAGTCGTGCTACCACCAAAATATATTACACAATGCAACTTATAATAGTTATGTATATATCACTTTTAAGTTGTTACCTTCTTTACTCCTGCGATTTTCGCTTACATTTTTAAACATCTAATCTTTTCCTAGAATTTAAGCTTTTTAAATACAATTATATAAATACATCTAGGGTATTCTACCATATGTATTGATATATAGGCTCATGAAATATGTTAAATTATGCTAAATCCAAAATTTATGTGCAGCTTAATGTCTCAAACTTGCAAGAAAAGTTTGATTACTCTATATAATAAACATCTAATATTAAAAAAATATATATCCAATAAAACTCCAAAGCTACTAAAAGTTGCTGGGTTGGTTATTGGAGATGAGATTTTAAAAAATAAAGTCATAGATGAAAACTCTGCTTACCTCGTGCAACAATGCTACGAAAACGGATTTAAACTATCAAGGGTTGAGTTTGTTGGTGATGAAGAACAAGATATTGCTGAAACGATTCAAAGACTTTCCAGTACTCATGATATGGTGGTAACAACTGGTGGGCTTGGCCCAACGCATGATGATATTACGTTTGAAGCTATTGCATCGGCTTTTAATGTGAACTTGGTATGCGATAATGATATACTGAACTCGCAATTGACTCACATTGAACGTCTAAAGAGCCAAGAAGCTTCAGTCCAGAATTTTAAAAAAAATACTGCGTTAGAGAAAACATCCTTGCAGGATTCAAAAATAAAGGGTTTGATTAGCAGCAATGAACTTTTATCTTTGAAAAAAAACGCGACAATTCCTATAAGCTCTAAAAAATATTATGTTGGCAAAGAATTCTGGTCACCAGTCGTTATAACGAATAACGTATTTACATTTCCTGGAGTTCCGACTTTATTCAGATCTATGCTTAAAGTGCTTTTTCAGGACTACAAAAAAAATAAACTAGAACCATTAGGCTTTGTTTTTAGAAATTTACAAAATAGTACAATTTTTTATTCAAAGGCTCTTTCTACGGATCTATGTGAGAGTGATATTGCTTTAGAACTTGAAAAAATTCAAACAAAATATAATGGTATAGTAAAAATTGGCTCATATCCTATTATTGACCCTAACAAAAGTTATAAGGTCAAGCTTACCGTTGATGGGACAGATGAAGACTCGGTTAATAAGTGCTATAATGAAATTTATGCACTAATAAATGAAGGTTGAATTATGTGACGTTTTTAAATTTTACTATTTACATTATTCAAAAATAATATATATCCAAATTATGATTTTTCTGTAATCATTACAGATATCTATAAATGTTTTTATAGTTTTAAGATTCCATATACTTTTATAATTTTTTTTAAAAAGATTCTCACATATATTTAATAGATAAATTATGAATTAATCAATTTTTTATATTTTACATTTTATATCATATAAAATTATGTTTAAAAGGCTAATTTTTTTAATTTGAGAACCGG